GTCCATCCCAATCCCAGATCCATCAGACTTCAAGGAGGGACAATGAGAGTCCATCCCAATCCCAGATCCATCAGACTTCAAGGAGGGACAATGAGAGTCCATCCCAATCCCAGATCCATCAGACTTCAAGGAGGGACAATGAGAGTCCATCCCAATCCCAGATCCATCAGACTTCAAGGAGGGACAATGAGAGTCCATCCCAATCCCAGATCCATCAGACTTCAAGGAGGGACAATGAGAGTCCATCCCAATCCCAGATCCATCAGACTTCAAGGAGGGACAATGAGAGTCCATCCCAATCCCAGATCCATCAGACTTCAAGGAGGGACAATGAGAGTCCATCCCAATCCCAGATCCATCAGACTTCAAGGAGGGACAATGAGAGTCCATCCCAATCCCAGATCCATCAGACTTCAAGGAGGGACAATGAGAGTCCATCCCAATCCCAGATCCATCAGACTTCAAGGAGGGACAATGAGAGTCCATCCCAATCCCAGATCCATCAGACTTCAAGGAGGGACAATGAGAGTCCATCCCAATCCCAGATCCATCAGACTTCAAGGAGGGACAATGAGAGTCCATCCCAATCCCAGATCCATCAGACTTCAAGGAGGGACAATGAGAGTCCATCCCAATCCCAGATCCATCAGACTTCAAGGAGGGACAATGAGAGTCCATCCCAATCCCAGATCCATCAGACTTCAAGGAGGGACAATGAGAGTCCATCCCAATCCCAGATCCATCAGACTTCAAGGAGGGACAATGAGAGTCCATCCCAATCCCAGATCCATCAGACTTCAAGGAGGGACAATGAGAGTCCATCCCAATCCCAGATCCATCAGACTTCAAGGAGGGACAATGAGAGTCCATCCCAATCCCAGATCCATCAGACTTCAAGGAGGGACAATGAGAGTCCATCCCAATCCCAGATCCATCAGACTTCAAGGAGGGACAATGAGAGTCCATCCCAATCCCAGATCCATCAGACTTCAAGGAGGGACAATGAGAGTCCATCCCAATCCCAGATCCATCAGACTTCAAGGAGGGACAATGAGAGTCCATCCCAATCCCAGATCCATCAGACTTCAAGGAGGGACAATGAGAGTCCATCCCAATCCCAGATCCATCAGACTTCAAGGAGGGACAATGAGAGTCCATCCCAATCCCAGATCCATCAGACTTCAAGGAGGGACAATGAGAGTCCATCCCAATCCCAGATCCATCAGACTTCAAGGAGGGACAATGAGAGTCCATCCCAATCCCAGATCCATCAGACTTCAAGGAGGGACAATGAGAGTCCATCCCAATCCCAGATCCATCAGACTTCAAGGAGGGACAATGAGAGTCCATCCCAATCCCAGATCCATCAGACTTCAAGGAGGGACAATGAGAGTCCATCCCAATCCCAGATCCATCAGACTTCAAGGAGGGACAATGAGAGTCCATCCCAATCCCAGATCCATCAGACTTCAAGGAGGGACAATGAGAGTCCATCCCAATCCCAGATCCATCAGACTTCAAGGAGGGACCATGAGAGTCCATCCCAATCCCAGATCCATCAGACTTCAAGGAGGGACCATGAGAGTCCATCCCAATCCCAGATCCATCAGACTTCAAGGAGGGACAATGAGTCCATCCCAATCCCAGATCCATCAGACTTCAAGGAGGGACCATGAGAGTCCATCCCAATCCCAGATCCATCAGACTTCAAGGAGGGACCATGAGAGTCCATCCCAATCCCAGATCCATCAGAGTCATGCCAGCTGGACGAGGAGCAGCCCATACATACCTCGTATTAAGCTCTTCCAATCACCAGCTTGCTGGTAAATAAAGAAAAGGGACCTGCAAACCCCCATGAAGAGTGAGTGGAGCCACCTAAAAGGTTCAAGCGGATTCCGGCAGGTTAGGTGATAGGCGAACATCATGTGTCTATGAATTCCAATCGGCCAAATGGGACCCCCATAAACCTGGAGCACAATGCTGCTGTCAGAAACCTGCTGCTTCCGCGCATGCGCCAAGTCCTGGTTCCCATACTACGCTTGCGCGCGCCATGGATTGGGCGCGAAAATAAGGCACCAAATGGCTCACAGGAAGTGACACTCTCCAGATATTTTACCCGGATTGACTTTGACCTTGTTTGCCTGCAGCCTGCCCTTGACTTCGGATTGCTTCACTGGACTGCCTAAGCCTTCTCCTTTTGTACCTTCTCTGCCTGCTCGGTGTGACCACGGATATCCCTGCTGCAGAACCAGACATTGGCCGGCACGGTGATACCGCCTCTGGCCCTCCTGCCACTCACTGTCTATAAGAACTCTGTCCCCAATACCAGAGTCCCTAGGACACAAGGTGCAAGGGAGGCCTCCTCCCACATCCAGTCACCACACAGGTACGTGATAGCTGCTCTCTAGACTGAAGCTTAATTACAATACATTGTGGGTGCTGCCCTGTCCATTGGACCCCAGCATTGCATTCTGGGTTGGGTTGGTACCATGCTCAAGGCCGGATTTCCCACAAGGCCAACCAAGGCCCAGCCTCTGGGCAGCAGGGAATAGTGGGGCAGCAGGGGTGTGGAATTCCTATCTTCTAATGCCCGGGCGGGTAGTTGTTTTCTACATTTAGCCCGGCTTTGGGCAAGCAGAGATAAATGTACAGCGGGGGAAGGCGCCATTTGTTTTCTACAAGTGATCCCGGTGACATTGTAGGCACCATTCTCCAAGGGGGGGGTGTTTGGCAGGTAGGGCGGCGCGTTGAGGAACCTGGCCTTGGGGCAGCAGAGAGAGCAAATGAAGCCTTGACCATGCTTGTGTCTTCGTACCACAACGTGTGTCCCCGGGAGGTTCCTCATGGTCCCGGGACGAGGGGCACTTTTAGCCAAAGTGGGTGCTGACACCTTCCCAGTGATTGGTGATGTCCGGGGAGGCTGCGTGTCTCTGCACTCAGTGTGTGTGTGCCCCCCCCCCGTCATCTATTAAGGAATTCCGGAATGCCGGAAGCTCTGTACACAGCAGTGCCGTATTATAGCCGGCCTGG